TAGTAGCAGAACCAGGATTCAAACCCAGGGACTCTAGGTCCAGAATCTATGCTCTTCACCAGTACATGATCCTGTTCAGTAAATACTTATTTCTTGAAATAATAATGAATACCTGATAGTGGAGGAAAATCAGTTTATCTAAACATATCTATTTTGATCTTGTTTCTGGATATGTAATTCTAGGTTTAGTTATTTTCTATCAATATTTCAAAGATGATATTCTGCTGTCTTCTGTTTTCCATTTTTCTTGTCAATATAATTATTCATCTTTTGTGGAAATATGTCATCTCCTTGACAGATTTTAATGCCCTCTCAGTGTTTTTGTCTCACAGTTTTACTACCACTTAAATATTTGTATGTTTTATTTTTATAACTTATCCTAGTTGGTACACATTATAAACAAATCTGCAGGTTCATTTTTTATCTCATTCTGCAATATTCTCATCCATTAGCTATTTAAATATGTCTTTTTCTTTAATCTTTTCACTCTGAGATTCCAGAGGTTTATGTTGTTGTTACTGTTTTTGGTTTTGTTTCTTCAGTGCTGGGGATTTGAACATGGTGCCCCACACATGCTAGGCAAGGCTCTACCACTGAATTATACTCCAGCCCTGAAACTCTCATTTTGTATGTACTAGACCTAATCAATTTACTTCATGTCTCTTGGCTTCCCTGTCATATTGTCCATCTCCTTGTCTCCATGTTGCGTTCTCAATAACATCTGATCTGTCTCCCCATCTGTCTATGGTTTGCTATTTTAACCAATCCATTGAATATTATTTTAAGTTGATAGACTTTATTTTGGGAGCAGTTTTATATCTATGGAAAAACTGAATGGAAAATGCAGCTCTCATATATAAACTTTATTCTTTCCATTCATCCTCCCCCCCTTAACAACTTACATTAATGTGGTACCTGCCCTATAGTTGCTGAGCCGTATTTTTTAAAAAGTTTATCAACATATATTAGATTGTACATAGTAATGGGTTTTACCATGACATTTCCATGCATGCATATAATGTACTTTGATCATATTCATCCCTCTATTACTCTGTCTTATCACCTCCTCCCTCCCCCTTGTCCTTTCCCCTTCCTAGTCCCTCCTTTACTTTCATGACGTTGGTGTTTTAGTTCCTCCTAACTTCCACAAATGAGAGAAAACATTCAATACATATCTTTGTGGGACTGGATGAGCCAATATTTACACATTATTGTTAATGACGATCCCCAGTTTACACTGGAGTTCTCTTTTGGTGTTATATATTCTGTGGGTTTTGATAAATAAATACTGACATATATATTAGTTTGCTATGGCTGTCATAACAAATACTACAGACTGCATGGCTTAAACAAGAGAAGCATATTTTCACAGTTCTGAAAGCTAGAAGTCCAAGATTAAGGTGTTGGCAAGGTTGGTTTCTCCTTGTATTTCTCTATCTATGTCTATGTTCTAATCTCTTGTAAGAATTATGACCCACCCTAATGACCTCATTCTAACTGAACTACCTCTTAAAGACTGCATATCAAATGCTGTCACATTCTAAAATACTGGAGGTTAGGACTTCAACATCTGGATTTGTAGGGGGAAGGGGTGGGTGTATGTACAATTCAGGCCATAACAACATATGTCTAACATTACCTACCCTGCTGAATAGTTTCAAATTACTGTAAAAATACTCTGTGCTTCACCTGTTCATGTCTCTCCCCTGCCCATGGGTTCTTGGCAACTACTAATCTTTGTTTCCGTATCCACGATTTTGCCTTTTCCAGAATGTCATATAATTGGTATTATATAGTATGTAGCCTTTCCAAATTGATTTCTTTCACTTAGCAATAAGTATTTAAGGTTTCTCCATATCTTTTTGTGGCTTGATTGCTTGTAGCTTTTTACCACTGAATTATCATTCCTTTGTATTTCAACATATTTTTAATTTCTATAAGGTCTATTTGGTGCCCGTATAGATTTGCCAATTTATTTTGTGTGTTGCTTGCCTGTTTGTTGTGATTCCCATGTTATTTCTTTAAACCTTTCATACATAGGTATTTTTATATTTTGTGGCTGATGATCCTAATATATGAAATCCTGGGTCTAACTATTGCTTCTGCTCTTCTGATGACAGGTTTTCTTACATTTCTTGGTCATCTATGATCATGAGCTCATAATGGTTGTTCACCATTGACTATCCTGGAGGCCTAAGTGGGAATGCTTCCCATTAGAAAAGATTTAGAAACCAGAGGTGGGACTGGTGGGGAGTGTGGGACTTCCTAGGACCTGGTGTCTGTCTAGTTTTTGGTTTTTTTTTTGAGGGTTGGGGTAATAAAGAAGTCTTCAAGTTCATCTCCATTTTGCCACATCATAATGGATGTTTGCTTTCAGGGAGGCCTTTTTGCTTGTTGCTCACTGTTCCTCATCTGGTTTTAGCTTACTTAGAGTTTGTAGAGGGATTTCCATTATTACTGTGAGTCCAGTGAGTACATTTGAAAGTCTGTTTTATCTGAGACTTCATTGTTTTGTAGGTAGGTATTCCTTCAGGCTGTTTAGTCAGGCAAAGCATGATTCAGTTGGCTGAGTTTAGGGATTAAAGGTAGAATAATAGTAATCACTTTAGGCACCTTCCAGTTTTCCTGGGCATCCTCCCAATTTCACTCTCAATTACTCATTCTTCAGAATCAATTGTTGGGCCCTGGGCAAGTGACACATTTTTTATTGGCCAGCAGCCCATGCTGTTGGAATTGTGAGGTGATGATGGTTGGATATTGCTTCTATGTGCTAATCTAAGTTAATTTTTATTTCCTTGTGGAAACATTGATGGCAGTTAGATTTGAATTTTATTTCTGAGGAAAAAACATCTGGCACTGGGGGAGCAACTCATGTTGTAGAGCACTTGCATAGCAAGTGGGAAGCTGAGTTTAATCCTTAGTACCAAAAAAAAAAAAAAAAAAAAAAAAGAAAAAGGAAGGAAGGAAGAAGATCTGGAGGAAAACAGATGTAATAAGCAAAAAGGCACAACATTGAAGGTTAAATCCTAAATTGGCCATTTAGCAGTAACATGACCTGGTGCAGCTGATGTAATGTAACTTCTCTAAGCTTAAGAAGTCTCAACTGTAAATAACAGTAAAAACTACTAATTGTTTAAAATATGCTAAGCACTGTGTTAAGGTTTATGTATGTATATATGTTTCTTATTTAATATTCAATGATGGCCTTATGAAATCCAGTTATTATTATGCCTGTTTTAATAATGAAAAACTGAAATGTAGAGAGGTGAAATAAAAATGGGTTATTGTTAAGGACAAATTTAAATGAATTAGCACATGTAGCATGTTAGGCACATATAAGGTAATTAATAAAGAGCAGTATTACTATGATCACTAACATTTTCTGGATATAAAGTTGGTCTTTTATGTGATTTGGCCTAAATAGGATTCATTTACTCAATAACTATTTTATGGAGCACTTACTACAGCCATGGGTACTTCTAAGTGCTAAGGAAGCAGGAGGGAAGAGACGAATTTGGCCCCAGCACTTAGGGAATTCCCCTTGGAGTGAGTTTGATGGGCACATAAACATTTACAATTCAGCCTGGAAGGGCTGTGATGTAGCAAGAATAACAGAGTAGTTTGAGAGTTGGGGAAGATTAATAAGAAAGGCCCTCTAGATTTATACTGAGTTGGAGGTGAAGGTGGGAAGAAAAGGCAGAGGTAGAGCAATTATGAGAGCCTAACAGGGAGAGAGTAAATGCTGCATTTAAAGAAGTAAAAGTACTTCTTGTATGGGGTTTTAGGAAAAGTGGGGCTGGAGAGGTGGGTAAGTGCCATATTCTTAAAGCCTCTGTAAGCCATGTTTTAAGAGTTGGATTTGCCAGGTGCCAGTGGCTCCCATCTATAATCCTAGCTACCCAGGAGGCAGAGATCAGGAGGTTCACAGTTCAGATTAGCCCTGGCAAATACTTCCCAAGACCCTATCTTGAAAAACACTCCTCACTAAAAAGGGCTAATGGAGTGACTCAAGTGGTAAAAGCACCTGCCTAGCAAATGTGAGGGCCTGAGTTCAAACCCCAGTGACACACACAAGTTGGATCTTTATCTTTAGAGCACTGAAAAACCTTCTGAAGGTTTTCTTACCCCGGGTGATGTGATTGAAAAGTGATATGGAGGCTGGGTGCCAGTGGTTCATGCCTATAATCCTAGCTACTTGTGAGGCTGAGATCAAGAGGACTGAGGTTTCAGGCCAGCCCAGGAAATAGTTCACCAGACCCCATCTCCAAAAATAACCAAAGCAAAATGAATGGAGGCATTGCTCAAACAGTAAAGCCCCTGTTTTGCAAGCATGAAGCCCTGAGTTCAAACTCTAGTCACACACACACACACACACACACACACACACACACGTGTTGATTGAAAAGATCAATCTGGCTGAATTGAGGAAATAGTAACAATTACGTAAAAGTACATTGACTCCCTTAATCCTTATACAGACATTCAGAGGTAGCCAATATCATTCCCATTTTATATATGAAGAAATTGGGACTTGGAGCACTTCAAGTAAGCTCTTAAAGTTTCACACACAAAAATTTACACACTTCACATGGAAGTGGAATTATGGGCCCATGTCTTTTTAACTAAAGTTATATTGCTGTCACCTTCAATTAGTTGTAATTTATTATGATGTGCTTTATAGTCTGTGGAAAAAGTCTCATTCATTCTAATGCTACCGGCGTACTCTGTGATAGCTAACAAAGATTTTACATCATTATTTAATCTCCTTAAAAACTATGCACTAGGTGGTGTTATCTCCATTTTATAGGTATGGAAACAGAGGCCTGGGATATGGGGCTGTCCAATGTCCCATATACCTAGAAGGTAGTGGAGCTGATTCTTGAACACCAGGTTCTTGCAGAGGAAAGTTTTTTGTGGATATCTTACGAGCATGCCATACTTTTTTCTTGTGTGTGTCCTTTGTTCATTATGTGAATGTTTATAAGATTATTTCCTTCCAGGTTTTGGAGATCATATTCATTGGAGGACACTAGAAGATGGGAAGAAAGAAGCAGCTGCCAGGTATAATAATCCATGGTTTTAGGTCATTATAGTAAAATTTTCAAGCCATCAACTTAGCATTAATTTCAGGTAAAAGGCTATGCCAAGGCAAAACAAGAACTGAATAATTTCCTGATAACAACCAATACTAGCTAACATTTACTAAGTGCTTACTGTGTACCAGGAATTAAATTACATGAATTAACTCATCTCTGCATAAACTCTATGAGGTGGGTATTGCTCTTACCTTTTAAGAAATGAGAAAACTGGACTGGTAGAGTGGCTCAAGTGGTAGAGCACCTGTCTAGCAAGCATGAGGCCTGAATTCAAACTTCAGTACTGGCAAATAAATAGAAAAAATAAATGAAAACTAAGAGCTGAACATAGTAGTGCACACTTGTAATCTCAGCACTTGGGAGGTTGAGGCAAAAGGATCATGAGTAGCACAGCCAAGATTCAGACTCAGGCACTCTGGCTTCAGAATCTATAGTCTCTCAACTAACATACCATACTGACTACTATACTCAAGCTAAGTAGTCTTGTTTCCCAAGTAGGTTTGTTTTATGCACAGACTACTGGGAGCATAAGGAAGAAAAAGTAAAGCAAGGGAGGGAAGGCTAAACACTGTTTTTACATGCATTGGTTTATGCAATCTTCACAACCTCTGATGTTGGTACACCTATGAAATAACTTACCATTTTTTAGAAAAGGAAATTGAAGTACAGAAAAGTGAAATGACTTGCCAATAGTTAAACTACTAGTAACTAGCAGAGTTGAGACTTGCATTTTTCTCTACTATACTGTACTGGAAAGATACAAATACCTGTTCACCCCCAGTGTATGTTTTTGTACATTATATACACATGCATAGATACACTCTAACTTTGGCATGTACTAAATGGTAGTATTTGCTGTTCCTAGGAGAAAAAAACCTGTTTTGTGACTCAGAGTCTCAAACCTTCTGCAATAGAGCTGCCAGATTTATTAAATAAAAATTAAACATTTACAGCTAAATTTGGATTTTAGACAAATAATATTAAACATGTCTTCCAACTCTGGGATACACTTATGTAACTTTTAAAAGTGTTTTGGCTGGGGGCTGTGGCTGACACCTGTAATCTTAGCTATTTGGAAGGCTGAGATCAGGAGGATCGAGGTTTGAGGCCAACCTAGGCAAATAGTTCATGAGATTCCATCTCCAAAATAGCCAGAGCAAAATGGACTGCAGGAATGGCTCAGCAGTAGAGCGCCTGCTTTGCAAGAGTGAAGCCCTGAGTTCAAACCCCAGTTCCAACAAAAAAAAAAAAACTGCTGTATCTTGTTCTCCCTCCCCCTTCCTTCTCTCTCCACCTCCTCTTGCTCTCGCTCTAGCTCTGAGTCATCTCTGAATCTTCTCTGAATGGAGATGTTGAATGATTGAAATAGTTAATGAGTAAAAATTTACTAAGAACCACGAAGTGTAAGAGTGGGCATGAAGGATAACAAGGACTTAGGCTAAATATAGTGCTAATAATTTTGCAGTATTTTAATGAGTATTAAATCCTCATTAATAAATGGATGAACATAGCCTTTGACCACAAGGAGATCACATTCTCCTGAAGCTTTTGGCATTAATAACTGATGCCATTTTAGGCTTTGCATCTCGTTTCTGAGAAAGTTGAATCTGGGCCTTGTTGTCCTAGAGCTCCTGTTTCCATAGAAACAAGAGGTACTGTTGCTAAAGCAGCAGGAAGTGGAGCTTGTACTTCCGGTTGATGCCGGATGCGCGGACAACCGGAAATTGACTCAACACGGTTGCACATGGCGGCTTCTGGAGAGGATGCCTCTCGTGGTGTTTTGTGGGCTGCCGTACAGCGGCAAGAGTCAGCGTGCAGAAGAACTGCGCGATGCACTGGCCGCCGAGGGTCACGCGGTGTACCTGGTGGATGACGCTTCGGTGCTGGGCACGGCGGACGCGACCGTGTACGGCGACTCTGCCCGGGAGAAGGCTTTGCGTGGGGCGCTGCGAGCCTCGGTGGAGCGACGTCTAACTCGGCACGATGTAGTCATCCTGGACTCGATTAACTACATTAAGGGTTTCCGCTACGAGCTCTACTGCCTTGCGCGGGCGGCGCGCACACCACTGTGCCTGGTGTACTGCGTAAGGCCTGGCAGTACGAGCCAGGGAACTCAGGTGGCGGGCGTGGAGGAGAGCCGGAACATCCTTGTGAGTTGGAGGCCGCGCGCGGAGGAGGACGGGAAATTCCAAGCGACCCGCCCGGGTGTCGCCAGAGAACCGTACGCAGCCTGCTCTGAAGTAAATGGGCCAGTCCTGGTTGACAGACCCAAGGAACTGAAGCGTGAGGATATCGGGACATCAGATCCTCCAGTTCCAGTGACTCCGGAGTGTGAGAAATCTGAAAAGCATGTGTCCGGTACTTTTTTCTCTCCCGAACTAATGGAGGCGTTAACGCTGCGCTTTGAGGCTCCTGACTCTCGGAACCGATGGGATCGGCCTTTGTTCACCGTGGTGGGGTTAGAAGAGCCGTTGCCCTTGGAGGAGATCCGGACTGCTCTGTTTGAGAACCGGCCTCCTCCACCCCATCAGTCTACACAGTCCCAGCCCCTTGCCTCCGGCAGCTTTCTGCACCAGTTGGATCAAGTCACGAGCCAGGTATTGGCTGGACTGATTGAAGCGCAGAAGAGCGCTGTTCCTGGGGACTTATTAACACTTCCTGGCACCAGGGAGCACCTACGGTTTACCAGGCCCTTCACCATGGCAGAACTGAGTCGCCTCCGTCGCCAGTTTATATCCTATACTAAAATGCATCCCAATAATGAGAACCTGCCTGAACTGGCCAACATGTTTCTTCAGTATCTGAGCCAGAGTTTGCACTAATCAGAGGGGTAGGGTGAAGCCATGGCTCCTAACTTCCTCTGCACTTTCATTTCTCTAGAATGATTGTCAGAAGATCTGCAGAGTATGATTCAATTCAGTTGTCAGAGTCTGATGAGTTTGAGTCAAACTTTCTTAGCTGTCTCTGCCGGGTCCTAAATTTACAACATAAATTGAGACTAGAGAGAAGGGGGAATTAGCTTGGAGGATCCTGGCAAATTTCTCCAGAGGAGAGACCTCAGGTGGATAGGGCTTGCTTAGATTGGACTCTAGAATATCATACACAATTGATTACTATGCCAGCTTTTTGCTAGTCTGTCCTGCCATTGGGAAGCTTTGCATACTAGATTATTTCCTCCAATAAAATATTTTAAAAGTAGAGTCTGCTGGAATCTCTTTCACTTTTTCCACGTAACTTAGTATTACGTTTTATATACATGTGTGTCATTGTTATACCTTGACTGAAATAGTACTTTGATACTGCTTAATGAGAGGCTAGATTGTTTGGCCTAACCTGGAGTGATTGTATTATAATAACTTCCATAACTATTGTGCTTCATTCTGTGTTTCACGACAAATACCATTCTATCACTGGTATCATTGAACAAATGGTAACTATTATACCTATCAGTGTTTTTGATTTTCCAAAGACTAATCTTTGCTTTTGTTTCTGATGCACAAGAGAAGATTCATTTGTGTGAAATGGAGGTTTGGTCTAGGCAACCTCAAAGGTCTTTTCCAACTTCTATTTCCTAATTCTAAGCTAGTTCTTTATTGGTTGTGTTAGGTTTAAACCCATGGGTTCTGAATTGTCATTTTAAATTGAAGTAGACTTTTATGGTCAGAAAATTGGTTTTGGAGTCAGACTTCTGAGTTAGCTAGTAAGTGGTAGATCCTAGATTTTATGTGGCCAAATATTTAATCTACACTCATATTCCCTTCTCTCTCTCTGGGGATTGAGGTCAGGACTTCAGACATGCTAGGCAACTGTACTACATTTCCAACCCAGTTTTCTTATTTCTATTATGAAACCAAGAGTCGTTTTGAATATTTAAATTATATAATGCGAGTAAATTTCTTAGCACAATGTCACTTAAGATTCAACACAGTTTTGCTATTACAGTGTTGCGCAGATCCCACTGCCCACTTCAACTTAGCCTTCTGTGTGATTTAAAAGCTTTACAAGTATTGAAGGCACAAATCCATCCCAGATTTGTAGAAGGCCTAAGGTAAAATCGCTAACTAACTAATTTGGCACTTATTAAATGAGTTGATTTGTATATATTTAAAGTTTGTGTATATTTAGAATTGTATGGCATCTAGTAAATGCTATGTAAGTATTTGGTATCATTAATGTTGGATGTGCTAGTCAGAGGGGATACAGCCAACAGTTTATTGTCTTAGGAAGCTCCAAGTATACTGGCGGGAGATGGGTATATAATAGGTACAGGTTAATGTGGTAAGTGCAGCTGGACCTTGTATACAGTGTATGGTATTATGGTATGGTGATACAGGGGGCTATGTGATGGAGAAAGCCAATGGCTGCCAATAACTGCCATTATATTTTGGTTGTTTCCTTTCAGGTCTTCTTTTTTCTGTACATATTTGTGTGATTAAAACCAGACTAGATAATTTTTATCCTTGTTTTGTAGTTAATATACCTATAAAAAGCACATTTTCACTGATCATATAATAATAACCATTTAGTAGTACTTTAAAAATACTCTGATTTGGTTTTTTTTATTCCACAGTCTTCTCCCTAGCTTTAAAGTCCAAATTTGAAGAATTTTCAGAAATGTCAGAATTTACCAACAATTTTGTTGTAATAATCTCTTTTTAAGTATTTAGATTGCCTTACAGTTTTCCAGTTGAAATCATACTATAGGAAATTTTATACATTAATCTTTGTCTATAAACTGATCATTTTAATAGAATGGCTTTGAAGGAGTAAATTTACTAGAATATAATTTCTTTGTTTTTAAGTGGATTGCCCCTGATGGTGATTATCCATAAGTCTTGGTGTGGAGCTTGCAAAGGTAAGTCCAAGAGCTCAATCTAAAATCAAATCTAAATGCATTGTCAAAGGCTTAACATTCAATGAATGCACAGCACTGCTGATTATTTTAATGAATACCAAAGAAATATGTGACAAAGATTTCCTTCCTCCATGAAATTTGCAGTTACACTTGCAGAGGGCTTTAGGGAGGATGGGATGATTAAGATACTGTTACTGTACCACGAGAATGGGATTTTAATATGTCCTATAGTAATGTACAGAAATGTGAGAAGTGGTTAGAAGAAGTCTTCTAGAGGAGGTGGGAACCAAATCAGAACCCAATGTTATTTGACTTCATGGCTTATATTCTTTTGCTATATACTACCTTGCCACTTTCATGGTCAGGTTTTAACTTTCATTTTGGTATGCTGCACTTAATAAAATCTCAGTTGGAAAAGGAGTGTAAAAGCTAGGCATGGTGGTGCATTTCTGTAATCCTAGCCCTTGGGACCCTGATGCAGGAGACCTGTCTCAAAAAATGAAAGAAAAAGAAAAGAGGACTGGAGTCATGCTCAAGTGGTAGAATGCTTGCCTAATAAGTGCAAGGCCCTGAGTTCCACCTCTAGTAAAGCCGGAAAAAAAAAGGCATGTAAAATTAATGTGTGTATTCATATATATAGTAGTGACTGATTGTTACTCTGTTTTTCAATAGAAGTTACTGAAATGTCACTATAAAAAGCAAATAGTGATAATTTTCTCATTTGTATACCATTATTCTTATTTTGTAAATGAGATAAAAGCTTCAGAGCAATAAGTCACTGAATGTCACATCTATGCAAATAAGTGTCAGAAGCAGGACATGAACCTAGGTGTCTGGGTTTTAATTTTGTTTCTATTTTTCTTCTGATTGAGAAATGGTCTTGCTTTGTTGCTTAGGCTGGTCTCAAACTCCTGGACTTAAGTGATCCTCCTACATCCAGCCTCCACAGTAGCTGAGACTACAGGGTGTACCATCATACTTGGCTCCAAATCTAGTTTTTTTAGAGTTAAAAGTAAAGTTTCAGTTGTATGAGTCTATTTAGCAGATGCCTGAATTATCAAGGAAAATTAGTAGATATTTCAATGTTTCTTCTATTCCAAAGTCTTTTCTTTTTTCCCCCAGCTTTAAAACCCAAATTTGCAGAATCTAAAGAAATTTCAGAACTTTCTCATAATTTTGTTATGGTAAATCTGGAGGTAAGGCTGCAATAGTTTCTCCCTTTTTGCTATGATTTTTAAAGCTATGTTTCAGATTTAGTATCAGTGGTATAAAATCATATTGAGCAGAGCTGGCTACTCACATGTTTTTGCTCAGATATGTTAAAAAGTCATCCAACATCTCCTTTGGAGAGGAGAACCTGAATAAGATGACTAAATTTTAAGGTTCTTTCATCCTTAGTTTATTATTTATTCTGTTTATTTGCTTTTTTGGAGATACTGGAGTTTGAATTCAGGACTTCACACTTGCTACCCATGTGCATTACTGCTTGAGCCATGCCTTCAGCCTTCACCCTTAGTTTTTGTTTATGAGATGTTTTACATGTTTGTATAGCTATTCTAAAGATACACTCATACATGAAGGCTATAGCTCCCTACAAAATGTGGTTCAGTTGAGTACCTGTGCTAGGCTTATGTGTACAACCTTTCTGTTTCCTCAAAAGATATCTTTTATGGACTTCATATAGACTTCAAGTCTTGAAATCTTGAGTCATCAACTATCAGATCTTAGTCTTTGAAGGGTTTTTTAAGCCTCAGGAAGTATGTAATTTCATCAAAATCATAGAGCCTAATAAATGAGAATAGGTTCTATGACCTAGCTGTGTCCTTTTAGGCCATATTCTTCAAATGTAGTATTACTTGGATACTCTATGGTGGTAACCTCTAGCCATTAAGTCTCTTTAAAGTTAATGTTTACTTAATCATAGGACTGAGACTCTCTTGAATACGTTAACAGTTAACATTGAAGCAGCAAAGGAGTGACCTATGTAGCTAGTGGATAGTCCAGTGCTGCTGTACCTCATCAAGACATTATATTACAGTTTGGATAAATTACTGTTTAATCCCTGAAATGGAAACTATACCATAAATTGTAAAATTATTGATTTCCCATGCTATGCACATAAACTCACCACTTTCTGTGGTAAATTAGAGTGTTCAAAGAAGGCAGAATTAATGTCTTCAGGGAGCATTCTGTAACTTCAGAGATTTCTTAAAAAAAGAAAAAACAGCCGGTGCTGGTGGCTCATGCCTGTAATCCTAGCTACTCAGGGGCAAAGATAAGGAGGATTGCAGTTCGAAACCAGCCTGGGCAGATAGTTCCACGAGACCTTATCTCGATAAACCCTTCACAAAAATAGGGCTGATGGAGTGGTGGCTCAACTGGAAGGTCCTGAGTTCAAGCCCCAGTACTGCAGAAAAATAAATAAGTAAATAAAGCTAGATATGGTGGTGCATGCCTCAGGAAGCAGAGGCAGGAGGATTGTGAGTTCAAGGCCAGTCTGGGCTATATAGTGAGCACCTGTCTCAGGAAAAAGTTTGATCCCAGCACTGCAAAAAACAAAACAAAACTGATTGTGTGGTTGTATGTATCTCCTGAGAAGACTTACTCCAAAGTTGTAGTTAAAGTGCCAATGTTAATAATTTATGCATTCAAGAAATACTGCATGCAAGTGAGTGATACAGTTAAGGGAAGTACAGCAGTGAACACTGAAGTAACATTCTAATGGTGAAAGACAAAATATGTCAAGTGGTGGTAAATGCTATGACAAAAAGGATGAAAGGGATGGCTTGCAATTTTAAATAGGTGGGTAGAGAAAAACGTAACATTTGAGGAAAAATCTGAAGCAGAAATAGTCATGTGGATGACAGGGAAACTATCCAGGCAGAGAGTAAGAACAAGTCTAAAAGCCTGAGTTAAGAGCATGTTTGGTTTATTGAATGACAACAACAGTAAGCTGGTTAATGTGGCTAAAAAAGGACTGAACAAGGTGGAACATGAAGTTTAAGTGCCTGGGGGAGCAAATCGTGTAAGGCTTTGTAAGCCTCAGCAAGGTGGGCAGTCCACTGAAAGGTTTTAAGGAGAGGGGAGGTCATGATCTGATGTAAAGTTAATATTTAATCTTAATAGGATGAAGAGGAACCCAAGGATGAAGATTTTAGCCCTGATGGGGGTTATATTCCACGAATCCTTTTCTTGGGTAAGGCAAAAGATCTTAATCTGGAGATCAATGGTGCAGGGCACTGACTCCACCTAGTAAAGCTATACTAAGATGTCAAAAACAAAACAAAAATCAGTTTTAAGAGACTAGGGGACTGCTGGTGGAATGGCTAAAGTGGTAGAGCACCTGCCTAGCAAGCATGAGGCCCAAAATACCCTCCCCCCCAAAAAAAAGAAAAGAGAAGTGAGGGGGCAAAAAAAGAGTTGGAGATATGGGTGTGGAGGTGCATGTCTACAATCCCAGCATTCAGGAGGCTAAAGCAGGAGAATGGCAAGTTTGAGGCCAGCCTGTGCCTCACTGCGATACCCTGTCTCAGGAGAGAAGAGAGAGATCCAGAGAGAGAAACAGACTAAGAGGGGGGGAGAGGGATAGGAAGAGAGAGAGGAGTTCAGAATACTAGAAGTGTAAATTTGTGGAACATTTCCCATTAATTAACTGCTTTTATGAGCAGTGACAAAAGTTTGATCTTCCATTTCTTTTAGTCAGCAGTCATTTGCACATCAGCTATATGTCAAGCCAGACATGTACAGGGACAGATAAACCATAATTTCTGCCTCTGACTCTGTAGAGCAGCTGAATCAACAAAATAGTAATATAACCAGACAGATGTCTTTCTAGATAGTTAATGACCACCTTCTTTGTTTAAGATTCAGTTAGATTCTATTGAGGATACAAATAAAAATCCCATCATCAAGCAGAAAAGAAACATGCCAGAAGCAATAATGTACCAACACAAGGGGTTGGGATGGTAGATTGTGTTCAGAGAAGTGTAAGGAATTGATTATAGCACGAAATGCAATGGTAGGGTGATGAGATAGTGGACAGGTCTTATTTCCTGGAGGACCTAGTGTACCATATGGTGTTTGAGGTACCTCTCTGTTTAATTACTGTAATCCTTGTGCTGTTTTGTCTACAATAGATCCCAGTGGCAAGGTGCATCCTGAAATCATCAATGAGAGTGGAAACCCCAGCTACAAGTATTTCTACGTCAGTGCCGAGCAAGGTACCGTTCTGCTGAGATAAAGGAGGGAGGGCTGCTAGATTTAACTAGAATAAACCACAGGCAAAGTTTGTGATAGGAACTTATGTGTAACCTGTTAGCTGAACATCACCTGCATGATTAGCTTTTGGGTAGATCCTGTATAGGATATAGGAGAAAGCACTTCCCTAGCTGCTTAGAAGAGCTAACTGACCACAGGAAACTGTAGATCTGAGGCTTACAGAGATAGTCACTTATCCATATTAATAAGTTGCAGAGTTGAAATTTGAATCCATAACTTAGGTTTTTTTGGTTTCTTTTTTTGTTGTTTTTGTTTTGCATTGTACCTGTGTTGCTCTTCCCATAAGAATTCAGAGGAGCCACATGCCGGTGGCTCACACCCGTAATCCTAACTACTTAGGAGGCTGAGATCATGAGGGTCATAGTTCAAGGCCAGCCTGAACAAATAATTCCCAAGACCCTGTCTCCAAAATAACCAGAGCAAAATGGACTGGAGGTGTGGCTCAAGTATTAGAGTGCCCGCTTTGCAAGTGTGAAGCCCTGAGTTCAAACCGCAGTTCAGAAAAAAAAAAATCCAGAGGAAAGAGAATACAAACTGTTAGTTGAACAAGTCTAAAAGAATTCAGAGATGGTAAACTTTAATTAGGAACTAGAAGTATTAGAATTTGTCTCTGGACATTTCAAACTATGGAAGTGAGATGTGGATGCATGCAGCTCAACATATAGAATCTATAAGGCTTCCTGGAGGAATGTGTGAGTAGATTGAGTCCTGAAGAATGAGACCTAGTCAACAGAAGAATGAGAAAGCATGTTCCAGGCAGAGGAAACAGCATTAGTACAGACAGGTGAAGGAAGGCTGAAGTCATGCTTTTTTTGGTCTCTAATTCTGCAGCACAGCCATTCTAAAGGCAGAGAATAGAATTCATGCCATGTATTGTTGCTGTTTTCCTTCCTTTTTCCCCTGATCTATAAAAGGGAATTGTTTGCTAAGTTGCCATGTGTCTCCTGTTGTTAGGCTGCCAGGTCATTGATTAGTTTATGATTTGAATCTTGGAACTCTTATTCCCAGAATAGGAAAGGGGAAGAGATCTAGAAATACTGCCATCTCCTTCCTGTGGCTAAGCACACTGGCATCTTCCTTAACCAAGTGCAGATCCCTGGAGACTGCTGTTAAAAGGAGATTTTCCACACTAAGCAGGGCAGCTGTGCTTTAGGTCCCCTTTTCTTGTCCCCCAAGATTCACCTTCCCTTTAGAATTTTATTCAAGTTACCGCTGCTATCTCCACATGGGCGTAGTCCAAATATGAACACAAGACTTTCCTGGAGAGTTACCTATGGCTCAGCTGACATGAAACTGGAACATCAAATCTGCCTTTACTCCAGGCATAGGCATAACAAAAGGGAAAAAAGCTATATTACCTGGCTTTTAGGGGCTATGGATTTGCTCTCCAAGATTCACAGACTGGCTCAACCTTGCTCCCTGTCTGCCATTATAGAACTACCCCTCACTGGCCTGTACCAAAATAGCTTGCCTCCTTGAAATGTAAATCCATAAGAGGTAAACAAGAAATTTCATTTTCTGCCTGCCTAAGTCTGTCTTTCTAGGTTTTTTTTTAAAGTCTTCTTTGTTTATGAAGTACTTCTATTATTCATTCTCTCATTTAACTTTTATAACTGTAATGTGTGAAGTACGTAGCATCTCCTTTTATAGACAAGGAAACAAATTAAAGAGATAATGACATACAGAACTAGATCTTGAGTTCAGATCTTGTATTTTTCTCATATTTCCCCAAGACATTTAAAAATGTGTATTTGTTGTCAAATGTCAGATATTAAAAAGCTGTTTCATACTTTTCCCTTTACCTTTTATTTTGCAGTTGTTCAGGGGATGAAGGAAGCTCAGGAAAGACTGACCGGTGATGCCTTCAGAGAGAAACATCTTGGAGATGAGTTGTAACATGACCATATCCCTTTTTTCATCAAAGTTGGTGTTCTGGAAGGAAAGCATCAGGAGAGGGAATACTGAGGATTCACCCAGAACAATTAAACTGACCAGGAAACCTTACTTCTACCTATGCTGGAAGGAACTCTCTCTGTGGAGGAGGTCTGCTAAGAAAGCTAGTCTGTGTATTTGTAGACCTAGCAGAGTGGGGTAGATTTCCTTCTGATCCCTGTCACCTAAATATCCATTTGTCTTTGAATGTAAAGAATGAAACCTTTTGATACAAAACTTGAGCCACTTGAAGATTTACTCCTCACACTTCAGTATTTGAGTCCTTACCCATTTCCTCCCCCTTTTCTCACCTTGGTGGTAAAAGGAGACTGATGGCATCTTTTCTACAGTGTTAAAATTGCGGGAATACCTTATCAATTTTTAAGAAAACAGCAAATCCTAAGTGTAAATCAGTAATTCTACCCACTATCAAGGAAACCAGCTTATTTTTTCTTTTGGGGATAATCTTGGGCTTCTTCCTCAATCCCTGTGACTGCCTTCCTCTTATCCTACTCTGGCTTTCCTGTTTGCACGCATGTATGTGCAGGAAATGGCTGTGTGCTTGGACTCAGCACCAACTGGAAGCATGCTTTCCCTTGTAACTGTTGGAGAGACTGAAGACTTCAGGTCCTCTGTGGAGCCATTTTTGTCAAGTCATCAACTGTATTTTTGTACTGGGATTAACAAAAGATAAAATATTGATTGTTCCATTAAACTTTAATAAAACTTTTAAAGGAAATGTTCTGTATTGGCCTTCTATTATTGGAGAATGGAGGGAGGGTGATCACTTTAGGAAGAAAACTAACCTTGAGGGCCTGCTTTAGGAGTCCAACCTAGGACAACTGTTCTTTTACCACCCATATCCAAATGAGCCCCAGGGCTCATCACTTTATACTTTTTTTTCTTTCTTTTTTTTTTTTTTAATGGCAGCACAGGGGTTTGAACTCAGGGCCTTATGCTTGTTAGGCAAGCGCTTTTACTGCTTGAGCTACTCCATCAGCCCTGCTTTTCTTTTTTAATTGAGATGGGGTCTTGTTATGCTGCCTAGACTAGCCTCAAACTCCTGGATTCAAGAGATCAGCCTGCATCAGCCTCCTGAGTAGCTGGGACTACAGATACACCCCACCTCTTGTACCTTTCCCTCCCTTCCTTCCTTCCTTCGTGCCTTCCATCCATCCTTCGATCGCTGTTTAGCACAAATCAGACTTCCCTCCCCCACTTCCCCTTCCTGGGCTATTTATTGTGACAGCCTCTTAACTTGCTTACTTGCCTCTAATGTTTTCTCCTATAATCCATTCTCCTTGCTTTCCCCAGAGTGATCTTTCCAAAACATGAATGTGACCATGTCATATCTCTTCTTAAAACCTTCCTGCCACCTCTAAAATAATGGTATTCTATTAGGAAATAATTTGGGCTTCAAGATTGCCAGACACTCTTCTAATTGTTTTATGAGTGTTACTCCATTTAGTCTTCTGGCAGCCCTGTGAGAGAGGTACTATTGTAATTTCCATTTTATAGAAGAAGAATTTCTAACGTTTGAGGAAAACGGTGCCAAATAAAGTCAAGATCATGCCAGGCGCTGGTGGCTCACACCTGTAATCCTAGCTACTCAGGAGGCAGAGGTCAGGAGGATCACAGTTTGAGAACAACCTGAGCAAATAGTTCAAGACCCTATCTTAAAATTACCCAACATAAAAAGGGCTTATAGAATGACTCAAGTGGTAGAGCCCCTGCCTAGCAAGTGTAAAGTCTTGAGTTCAAGCCCCAGTACCACCAAAAATTAACTAAATAAAGTTGAGATCTTAAGCATGGCCCTTAAGGAGCTGCCCACTTCAGCCTCATTTGTCTCCATTCCCGTTTGGCATTTTGTGTTGTGGTGACATCAAATTGAGTTTCTCTGAGAACATGCTGTCTTATGCCTTTGTGCCTGCTCACCTTGTTTTCTTCTGCCTACTTATTTTCTTTCTAGTCTTCCTTCATAGTCCATTTTGAGCCACATCTTTCAGTCTTCTCTGACCTTTGTCATGAGGATAAAATCTTCCTCCTCCAAGATAGCTATCACAGTTCTGTACCACTTTATATTGAAGTTACCTATTTGCACATCTGGCTGTCATCAACTGGCCATTTTCCTTTGGAGTAGAGGCTATTCCTCTGTCCTGTGTACCAAGGTTCCAAAACAATATATCTTCAACTGGCTTGTCAAGTTCTGTGGTAGGTTCTTTTTATCCATTCTCTCTTTCTCTTTTTCTCTCTCACAGTACTGGGGCTTGAACTCAGGGCCTGGTGCTTGCCAGGAAGGTACTCTACCATCTGAGCCGTGCCCCAGCACTTAATCTATTCTCTTTAAACCACCACCAGTGATCCTGTGTGATAGGCCTTAACTTCATTTTCTGGAAGAGGGAACTTCAGAGAAGGAAGTGCTTAGTCCTCAGGTCTAAACTACATAAATACTAAATTCTAACCACCACTATTTAAACTCATGCCTTTTCCAGCACATTGCTTTCTTCATATTCTGAGGTCTGACTTGTTGGAACAGGGGTTGTTTACCGTAATGGAAATTAACTATTGGTGTGATTATTCATTTAATGTCAACCTTTCTCACCAGAATGTAAATTATATGACAGTAGGGACTCTGGACTGGGTGCAGTGGTTCATGCCTGTAATCTCAGCTATTCAGAAGGTGGAGATCAGGAGGACTGCAATTTGAGACCAGTCTCAATCAATAGTTGGACTGTAGTCCATTTCAGCTGGTCAAAACACAAGATGCTATCTCCAAAATAACCAAAGTAGAAAGGACAGAGGGGAGGGGAGGTGTGGCTGAACTGGTAGAATGCCTGCCTACCAAGCATGAGTTCAGCTCCCAGTATCACCAAAAGAAAAAAAGGGGTGGGGGGGGACTCATTGCTTACCATTTTATTTCTAGTGCTCAGCCTGTGCAGTCATGCCTGGTGGTGAGCAGTGCTCATCAATGAGCAGTGCTGATTCCCTAGGGTTGACCATCTTTAGCCATCATATACCAACAGGAAGACTGAGGTCCACAAGTAGCACAAAGTAAGGTAGGATTTTGAGGAAGGCACCTTAACATTGAGACAAAGGTCTGTGCAAAAATGCTGAGATACAAAGCTGTTTCTGGGAGCATTAAGTAATTCCCTGTTCAGAGTATAAAGACCAAAGGGATTATGAGATTGAAGCTGACCGCAGACTATTGTTGTGCCCAGCCAATGCTGATGAACACAATGCAAGAAAGAGAAGGCTTTCGTGTTAACCATTTAGTCATGGTTCCACCTTGGGAGAATTACTTGTCCTCTCTGCACATTTTTTAAAAATTTATTCACTTATTCACATGCTCTCTGCACATTTATTTTCTCACCTCTGGTTGAGGATAATGCTGAAGAGAGAAGAACCTGATAGAATTTGCTAACAAGGTTAGATTTTACCTTATAATACAATAAACAAGTCTGATTGTTTTTAGATCTTTATATAGGACTGCTATCTTATTATCCATGGATACTTGGAAAGTCATTTAATCTTACTGAGCTTCAGTTCCTGATTCTGTTGAATTGTTAACAAGAGAAATGAGATAATATGTGGAACTCACCTCAGAAAGGTCCTTAAATATAGTGGGTGCTTATTAAAATTAGTTCCTTTCCATTCAGCCCTGCACCCAGGCTGATTTCAGCACCATGGCTACTGGTCAGTCCAGAGAGAGCATAGTTCCCATTTAGGACACAAGAGGGAGTATGAGACTAGACCTTTGCAGAGGATCACAGGGCAGCCTTGTCTGGCTCCCTTAGGAAACCCTAGAGAAAGAGTAAATAGGAATTATTCTTACAAAATTAGGAAGGCATCTTGAATTATTTGAAAGATTCTAAGATTGATAACCATTCTTCAGGTACATGGAAATGTATTTGAAAGGGAAGTCATGGTCAAGCACGAGTTATCAGATCCCTTAGAGTAGTTGATCCAGCCTCCTGTTATGCACCACCTCTTTTACATACATTATTACTTATGGGGGGAAGGGAGTGGCACTGGGAATTGAACTCAGGATCTCACACTTGCTAGGCAGGCGCGCTTCCACTTGAGCTACTCTGCCAGCATGTTATCACTTTTAATTTAACTCTCTCAAAGAGGCCATTAAAATAATGCTAATCCCTATTTTACAGAGGAACAACCTGTCAGAGAAATTCAATCACATAACTAGTAAGTGGTAAAAGTTGTACTTGAACCAGGCCTGTATGATTCTAAAACTAATTGGTTTATTATATTTGTATTAAATCTATTATTCTCTTATTTAGCAGAGGTGATCCAGAAAGGAGACTTACTAGTGATAACATGAGACTAATAATGGAGGACTTTGTGCCTAGAGTGGGCTCATGAACACTGAAGACCCTAACCATAGACTATACTTGTGCCCAGCCACTGCTGTGTGAACACACTGCAAGAGGGAGAAGGCTTTAGTGTTAGTCACTTAGCCATAGATGCACCTTGGGAGAATCAATTATCCTCTCTGCATGTTAATTTCCCTCTCTCTCTCTCTCTCCCCCTCCCTCTGGTGTGTGTGTGTGTGTGTGTGTGTGTGTGTGTGTGTGTGTGTGTGTTGTGGTACCGGGGTTTGAACTCAGGGCCTCACCCTTGCCAGGCAGGTGCTGTACCACTTGAGCCACTCCACCAGCCCATTGATTGATTTTTTTTTTTTTTTGGCAGTACTGGGGCTTGAACTCAGGACCTCATGCTTATTAGGCAGGCTCTCTACCACTTAAGCCACTCCACCAGCCATCTCACTGGTGTTTGAACTCAGGGCCTCATACTTGCTGAGGCCCTCTACCACTTGAGACGTAACTCAGCTCATTTTCCTCATCTCTTAAAATGAGTTGATTTCTTATCTATCAGGTTTCAACCCAGAAGTCATTCTCTCAGAGAGGCTTTCCCTGTTTAACCATTTAAAAATAGACCTCTCCCCTAGTCACTTTCTATCCTGTTGTCTTGTTGGAATATTTCCTTAAATGTGCTTATAACTTGATATTTTCTTATGCATTTTGTTTACTTGTCTCCCTCCTAGGATTTTGGCTTCTGTATAAGCAAGTGTTCTATTAGTTCATGCTTTGTGTGCTCTGTGCCTACAACACTGCTTGGCACATTCTAAATGATCAATGAAATCTTTGTGAAACGAAGGAATGAACAATACGATGACGAAGTAGAAACAGAGTACCAGCTACAAAGAGGCAGATTTTAGCAAAGAGGACTTTCCTAACAATAACAATTATCAAAGACAAAGTAGTCTGCCCTCCAGGAGGTGGTCTCCCCATCCTCAGAAATGAGCATGTAAGGGCTAGAGACGAGATCCCATGTCAGATTGGTGAGGAAAGGCTGATCTGAGGTTCCTTTGGCTTCTCGGCAAAGTTGCAATTAAGTTTTGCACTACAGCCTTGATGACAGCCTGCTGCCTAGTCATGCTAAATTATGAAATAGGTATTCTCTCTGTTTAATAACTGGAGACAAAGAGACCCCAGGGATTGGAGAGGCAGAGACAAGAGGACTGACAGTGCTAGATTCTGCTTCTGGGCTCTGTGGAAGATGTCTGACTGAGATGCTGTGGGTTTGATTAAATTTGAATAAAATAAATGAAGATGATTATGAATTATCATTTTCAGAGCAGTTTGCTGCCTTTACCACTGGACTCTTGTTCCTTTCTGCTGGACTTCA